GTCTTTATAGCAGCATGATTTATAATCCTTTGGGTATATACCCAGTAATGGGATGGCTGGGTCATATGGTACATCTAGTTCAACCATTATGGAAAACAGTATGGCGATTCCTCAAGGATCTAGAACTAGATGTATCAAAATTCTAATATCTGAAATACTACAGTGAACATTCCCTTTTAGTGTCATGTCGGTGCTCAAAAATTTTTGGATTTTAGAGCATTTTGGATTTTGGATTAGGGGTTTGGGACACTCAACCTGTACGAGCTACCTGGGCATCCCTTAATCCAATTAAGTTACATAAAATAAACCATCACAAAAAGGAAGGTAATCAAAACAACAAGAGAAAAATAAGATTTCCTAATATTCTGACCAGCTGATACTAGCTTAAATTCATGGGAAAAATCCACAAAGTATGTAAGTCCACACAAATAAAGATTCATACTATGAGGATTTTCAAAAGTATTTACAAAACTAGCAATGGCATTTTCATAAGTATAGAAGTACGCTTCTGCAGTAATTATGTGATTACCAATGTAGTAAAGCAATATGAATTCTATTTCACATTGGTTGATTATTTTAAAACATCCCAGTTTGTCAAAATGATTAGATGAGGCTAATTTGGTGTTAACAGTAAAATTTATGTCAGTGAGTATGGTTTTGAGTTTTAAAACCCACTCTAACAATTGGATGGCAGAAATATATCTGATAGGAATGACAATAAACAGACAACTAAATTTGTAGTTGAAAAAATCTGAAGTTTCTTTTACTAAAATTAAACAAAGATGATAAGTTTTGAATTTTTTTTTTTTTTTTTTTTTGAACTGGAGTCTTGCTCTTGTCGCCCAGGCTGGAGTGCAGTGGTGCAACCTCAGCTCACCGCAACCTCTGCCTCCTGGATTCAAGCAATTCTTTTGCCTCAGCCTCCTGAGTAGCTGGGACTACAGGTGCCCACCACCACTCCTGGCTAATTTTGTATTTTTAGTAGAAATAGGGTTTCGCCATGTTGGCCAGGCTGGTCTCGAACTCCTAACCTCAGGTGATCTGCCCACTTTGGCCTCCCAAAGTCTTGAATTTTTAAAAAACTTGATATTTAAAATATCTGAAATTTCCTAATATCTATGTGCTTAAATAAATGCTACTAAAAAGTTAATTATGTCTTTCTTTTCTAATAAGACTTTCATGGAATTCCATGAGAGACAGAAGACTGTGTAGTCAATTTTTAGGCTCATGTAATATTGAAAACTGAAGCCACACAGATGCATCAACATACAGTGAGACTTGCAGTTTCATGTCTGACATGTAAAGACAATGTGAGTTGTCACTCATATCCTTACAAGAAGAAGAAAACTGAACAAAATGAGAATCAATGAATCTTTTTAGATCCATCAGAGAATTGAGATCACAGTGTGAACTACAGCCCCTAAAACTGCAGATACAATGAAATACATAGAATGAGAACAAACAGAGAGCAGAAGCCACTGGAACCAGTAATTGGTAGAAACAATTAAATAGTAATTGATGAAATAAATACTAGAGGCTAAGTGGAGATTCACTTGAGAGTTAAAAACTCTTGGGAGTCCAGTCTTAGAGATGCCTCACATTTTTTGTGAGCTTTACTTCCAGGACCCTCATAAAGTAATCACAATGAAGAACAGAGAAATCTCCTCTTGTGCTTTAGGGAAAAGGAGAGGCAAAATAATTCTTTTGAAATAAACGTAGAGTATTCTTCACAACAAAAACCTGGGTGTGCACGTGCGTACACACAAATGCACAACATTACCAGAGGCTTTTCTGACACCTGGGAGAAGGGAAGCACCCAAATAAAGGCCAATCTAGACTTCTTGTTCGACATAAAGGCTTCGTGACTGGCTGAGAAGCATTTGTGAGGGTGACAGCTCCATGAAAGGCTGAGACCTGATAACAGGATTTTAGAACCTCCACCCCCAGTACCTTTCTGGTATATCAACAAGGGTCCTATACAATAATAGTGGCTTACAACTAAAGAACTACAAATATTAGAAGGAATTTCTAGGGAAACTGGAAGACAACAGAAGAGATAAATACAGGGAAATTAAAGGAACACAAAGCCGGTGACACTATAGCTATAGCAAATATTAATCACAGCCTAACAGATAATATCCAAAAATCTGACCATACCAAATGCTGGCAAGAATGGGGAGCAACAGGCACTCATATTCATAGCTGGTAGGAATGCAAAATAGTGCAGCCACTTTGGAAGACATTTTGGCAATTTTTTTTTTAACATTGTTTTACCACACCATCCAGCAATCACACACTTAGATATTTACTCAAATGAGGTATAACCTTGTGTCCACACTAAAACCTGCACATAATTGTTTTTAGCCATTTTATTCCTAATTGCCAAAAATTGGGGATAACCAAGATGTCCTCTAATAGTTGAATGGATAAAAAAAAAGTGTGGTATATCCACGTAATAGGGTATTGCTCAGCAGCTAAAAAAGAGTTATTAGGTCACCAAAAAACATGGAGAATTCTTGAATAAATATCGTTAGGCCAAAGAAGCTAATCTGAAAACGTTGCATACTCTACATGACATTGTGGAAAAGGCAAAACTACAGACAATAAAAAGATCCGTCATTTCTAGGATTTCAGAGTAGGTTTAGAACAAGGGATCTTTAGGGCAGTGAAACTGTTCTGTATGATACTGTATTGACAAATGTGTGGCAATATGCATTTATCAACAGCTATAGAATTGTATGCAACAGAGAGTAAATCCTAATGTAAACTATGGACTTTAGTTAATGCTGATGTATCAATACTGTTTTTTTTTTTTTTTTTTTTTGAGAATTAGTCTGGCTCTGTTGCCCAGGATGGAGGGCAGTGGCACCATGTTGGCATACTGCAACCTCGCATCCTGGGTTCAAGAGATGCTCCTGCCTCAGCTTCCCAAGTAAGGGGGATTACAGGTTAACTTTAACAAAGGTTCAGTTAAACATGCAACTTATTTTCACATTATTAATATTGAAATCTTGCTATTTATAAAACAGACTCTATAAGACCGTTAATCTTGATCCAAAGAAAGTGTGTCCTACAGAAAAAGCCCAATGGTCACAAAGAAGCAATAGCCATTGGTTTGGGAACTCTTTGTCACACAGAAGTGCCAGCTTTACACTTGTTTTCAGTGTTTCAGAGTATAACAGCAGTATGTCTGTCTGCATATCTGCCCACATTCTTTTTATTTGACAATATTATGATACTTAATAAATGTACATATTTTCAAGATATCTGCCCAAATTCTGAGGGTCAAGATAAACATTAAAAAACTGGTCCTTATCTGAGATCTATTTTTTTTTGTTTGTTTTACATTGACTCAAACATTTTGTAATTCAGTCTGTACCCATTCCTCATGGAGAGGAATGAGGTTTCAGGGCCATCTTGCCTATTGCTTTGTTTTTATCAGTAGGTGAATTCTTAACATTAGAAAGATTTTCTAAGAATAAATGTGTATTGAACATCTGTGGTTGCCAGAATCACATGAGTTAAGAGCATTTGTGACATCTCTGCAACCAATTGTTTACAAGTGAAAAACAGACAGATATCTTGAGGTTAAATCTGTTGATATTAGCTTGTGCTCATTTTCTGATTTTTTTGGACTAAAGAATGTTTTCGCTAAACAATAAAGGAAACTTCATAGATTCTTGTCATTAAAAAAATAAGGTGAAGCTATGTCGCAAGGTTAAAAATTATATTTTGTATTAAATTTGTATATATATACTTAATTTTTAAAGGTACATAATAGGCATATGAATGAGTAAATTTGTACATGTAATGATTGTTTTTTAATATACATTTTATTTAACACAAAGAATACGACTGACTGCATAAAACGAAGTAAAATCAAAATCTAAATTTGGGTCCCTGGTTACTCTTTTTCTACCTTGATTTTCTATTATGAAAAGCCCCATTTTTCAGAAACCACTTAACACCTCTCATTTTGCATAAGGCTAGATAGATACTGCTTTCTGTAACAACTATTGCCCCCTTAACTTCTTATATTTCTTGAATAAATCAGCCACTTTTATTCAGTAAATGCATATTCAATGCCTAGCCTACTAGATGCCAGAAAAAATGCTAATTACAGAGTAAGACCCTGTTTTCAAGCTATTTATAATCTAAAAAGTACTCCGGACAAGTAAACATTGATTTACAACACAGTAAAATAAATACTAGTTAGGAGAAAGTTCAAAGTTTAAAAGTCACTAAGAGAAGCATAGAGTCTTGTAAGAGTCAGTCTCTCAAAGGAATGTTATCTAATTGTAATTAAGAGAGAAATAAGAAATAACAGGGTTGGAGGTGTTGATGGGGTGGAGCAAAGGAGAATTTTATTAAGGGACAGAGTAGGTGCAGAAAAATGAAAAGAAAGGTAATGCATTTGTGGATTCCACAAACTCTTGGCCATTTATTTTTCTAATTCTCTTTTGTAAATTCCAAGTGTCAGTAGCTACTGTTACCTGAACATTTCACAGTACGCTGTTTTGTGATTGAGCAGAGAAAAGTCAGGTTTCTAAAATAATAATCGAAAGGTGAGTGATGTTTACGTTCTTTCTTTAGCTGTCATCTGCTTTTTAAATTTCTCAGGTCTGCTGAAGAGTTAAAGGCAAAGAGTTTAAATAGGTATTTTCCAATGAACGTGTTAGGATATAACCCAATGACTTCTTTGGCAGGCCTCAGTAAACTGAGCTAGGTCTGACTGAGGGTCCTTGCTGTGTTATTTCTTTCCTCATTGACTTCTCTTTCTTCACTCGAATAAGTTTATTCTTTTGACAGTTAACCATAGTCATGTTATTATTTTTCAGTGAGTGAATAAGGGATTCCCCCTTCCCAGTCTCTTTTGTGTTTTGCTCCAGGTCTCTTCTTTCTCATCTTTTCCTTAATTTTTCTCCCTCTTTCTTCCCCAACCCCTGACAACAGACTTAGGAATTTGAATATGAGCCAAATAATTAAAAAATAACAGCAGGATATTTCTACATCTCTATGAATGAACATGACTGTGTGGCTACTGTAGCTGCAGGTATGGATTCATATCTACATTAATTATTGCATCATGGACTTCACAAAGCCAAGCCCCCAAATTAATCTCCGCCTCCTTCTCTGGCCTTCAGAATATAAACTCACCAGAAACATTCCAAATGCAGAAGTGGTTCTCATCTTTTTTTGCAGCTTAAGATCTGCCTTGATATTTGAAGAGATCTAAACTAGATCAATTTCTTTCACAGGATCAACTAAACAGGTTGTACTTTTTATTATTCATATCAATACTTAGATTTTAGATACAGAAAATACAGAATGCAAATTGTATATTACAAAGCTGTTAAAAAATGAAATATACAAAGACCAAAATCTTCATTGATACTTTAATTAATGATGCAAAGTATTTAAAACCTTTTAAAATAATTTGTTTGCTGTTAAAAATATTTTATGTTTATATAGTGTTTTGTTGCTTATTGCTTTAATGTAAAATTACAGTAGCATTGCTATCTTAAAAGTGCTGAATGCTGGACATGTTTTCCATTTTACTAATGAGAAAATAAAACAATCAGCGTATAAGCAGGTAGAATAGAGATTGAATTTTAGTTTTGTGTTCCTGTGATAGGGGGACTTGCAAATAGTGGCATTACTTTCATGCAACAAACTTCAGATAAACATGACAGAAATCCACAGTACTTGGTAAATCATTAATATGTAGGTCATTGACATATATTGCCTTTTAAATCTGTGAATCCTTAGTAGAAACTAGAGAGCTCCTTGATCTAATAATCAAACTTAACAAATATTTCTCAACATATACTTTGTGTCATAGTGCTGGAGACTGAGATAGAAAGATGTACAAAAGAATAGTCTCTACTTTCAGTCACTTTGCCCTCATACAGGTAAATCTAAGAAAGTGGGGACTATAAGAACCCTATGTATCTATATCTACCGTAGTATTCCAGCACTGCCCACAGGGTCTAGGAACAAGGTAGACATTCACACAGGGAGTGTTTGCTGTATAAAAGGCAAGTTGGAAGATGCAGGAGAGGAGTATGCAGAAAGGAAGGAAGAAAGAGAGGAGGGAGAGAGGGAAGGAAAAACACTTTCTGAGTATAATTGAATTTATAAGTCACATAGTAAATAATTTTTATTGATGTTTCTTTCTGAAGAACTGACTTATGTACTCAGGATATGAAGTAGACAATTTCTAACTGAAATAGATCTTTTGAGAAAAAGGGGATCACATAGGAAGTAAATCCATACATTGTAATATGAGACCATTTATCAAAAGGAACAAAATGAGAAAAGATATTTTATTACATGCCACCTACTTTGCCTCTCAGACCAAAATAGACTATGAAGGGGTAGCTGGAAGTCAGCCCACCACTTAATGATAAATCTACCACTCCCAGCTGACTATAAGCCAATTCTTACAAACTTGGCTGAACACCAAGAAAGTAATTCACATGAGTAAACAAACCAATAGGCAGGACAAATGGTGGTGCATTTTATACACATTTCTTCTAGTGAAAGATCTATTTTCTGAGACTAAGGAGAAGGCTTAGGGAACAAGTGATTTATTGATAAGACTAATTTGTAGTTTGGAAATAGAAATCTCATATTTTTGGTGACATTACATTTGATATGACATAGAGGAGAGTTTTTTAAAATTTGAGATTGTCCTAAGGGCTGGGGCAATTTATGTGTGTAGAAGAACTTAGGCAGGTTTTTGGGCAAATGTGAACAGGAGGAATATCTAGAAAGGTTAATGTCAGGAAGGGCAAAATATGTTGGGAAGCTATGTCAGAAACTTGAAATAAAGTAAGTTTGGCAGTTGGAAAAAAAAAAAGATACTAAAGGAATTTGAAAGCTAATGAAAGAAAGTTTGCCTAATTAAAAATTCTGTTAGTAACTTTGAATATGAAATAGATTGTCATGGGATCAGGAGATGAATTAGGAAATGATAACCATCTTGCTTAACGTTATAATTTTTAGCCAAGTCATTTAACGGGAGTATCCAATACCTTATTGATCAAATGGGGAAAAAAGTAATTTTCAAGGTCACAGAGGAATCCTTTATACTCTCAAGATTCCATTTCTTTGATATAACCACCACAGGGTCATTAATTTCATCTTCTTTTCTTTTAAATACATTCACCAAGCATTTGGTTTATTTTAATAAAATGATACATATTCAGGAAATCAAAAATCTTTGACTTAGATACCCAGCAATAATAATCAAATGTAATGATCTTTATTGTTATTTGATGTATACGTAATTGGATAATTTGCTAAAATATTGTAATTCTTGACCTCTTTGTCTTTTTATATGCCCCAGCAATTTTGAAAGAAATTGAAGGCTCTGTGGTTTTTATTTATCATAGAATAAATATAATTGAGTATATCCATATTTTTATTTAGTTTTAAGCATATTACTTCATAATCACTTGTGCTTTCCTATTCTTTTATGTGTTAGACATCTTTCTAATATGGTTAAAAACTCTCTATGTGCCAAAACTATTTCATATGCAACTTTACTATGTTTTTGCCCCATATGTACAACAACTAAGAAGTGCTAGGTATGTAGGAGGGTCCCGTGATATATGCAGTTGTTAATGGTAAAATATTGTTAAGTACATACAAAGTATAAAACACAGTTTTTTTTTTTCAGTGTACCACAATGAATTCTGAACTTGACTATTACGAAAACTTTGAAGAACTCCATGGGGTTCTAATGTATAAAGATTTTGTCAAATATTGGGAAGATGTGGAAACATTCCAGGCAAGACCAGATGATCTTGTCATTGCCACCTATCCTAAATCTGGTAAATCTCTTTGTTATTCTTTTTTCACCTAAAAATAATAAACCCACTGTAAATGGTAAATATTAAGGTGTTCATGTCATACACACTCATTCTCTATATTAAGAACAGATGCAGTAGTTTTGATATGAACATAGCAAAGGTAGTTCTATTCCATGACCACAATTTTTACCTATAACTTGAATAGCATATTGACAGATGGATGTTGTTGAGCACTGTTAGAAACTTACATAACTTACATAAGGAACCTGTATTCATTCCATAATGAAAATTTAAAACTACCAATTGTTTACCTTATATCATTAATGTTGTTGTATATACAGAGTATAACCACCACTTTTTACATACTCTAAAACTCTCTTTCAGATCTCCAGCTCTTTAAGTCTATCTACAAAACTCCATTTTTAAGCAGAGTTCTGGAGTTTTACAACTATAGACTTCTAGAAATTAGACTAGTTTGAATTCATATTTCTCCATCTGGTTGTTCCATTTACCACTTGAAAATAGAGTCAAACATACTAAGTATTCCCTTCATTACCTTGACTCTAAATCTTCTTTATTTTCTTCCCTATTGGAATAAATGGCAGCTCAATACCAGTCATCTGAAGAGGAAACCCGTGAGCTATTCTAGATTCAATCCTTCTTGCTTATTCATCTGGCATTTGTAATCAATCAAAATGTTTTGGTCATTTAGTCTGGTAGATATGTCTCACAGTCAGCCTCTTAACACGTCTCTTGTCTCCCTTTCTATTGATCCCTCACTCCACTACTGTGTTTATTCTGGCACCAAAGAAATTCTTCTAAAACACAATTCTGATAATCTTGCTCTTCTGCTTAATATAATATATGTCAGTACTTTCCACGATTTTTATAAAAACAACTTGGATTCTTTAGTACGAACTACAAGGCTTGCTATCTGCTTGCCTGAACCCCAACTCCTCTCTTCAGATAGGCTCTTTGATTTAGGTCTTATAGTCTATTTCCAATTATTTTCCTAACTACTATACCATTCTTAAGTACCAACTTTAGATTAAAAAGAGAGACTGGGCTTCTGCCTGGTAGAACTGTTTCTTACCTCCCACAAGTGGGGAATTTATGCCAGTAATTATTAAGGCTAAGTTGAAGATCACATCCTCTCAAAAGCATTTCTTGTCAAAATATCATGTCAGCAGCAATAACAGTAGCAGCAGAACACTGTGTTATAGATTCCTTCTTTGCAGTTATTTAAATCCCTGTGCCATACTACACAATAGTATCTTAATAAAAACAAAATTTATTTTGCTATTGAACAATGTCACTGACTTCAAAAGGCCGTTAGCTCCCATAGGACAGGAACCAGATTTATCCGTTGCTAAGTTTTCTGACCTAGGACCCAACGCGAGACATAATATGCCATCAATAGAATTTTTGAATGGAAACATGCTTGTGTGCATCACGTATTATTCAAGACTTCTTACTTTTTAGATGTAAAAATTTAAGTCCAAAACTGTTACCACCTTGCACAATGTCACAATTCATCATGAACAAATTTGGACACAGGTCTCAGATGTGCCCTACTATAATATTTATCTTTATCTTTTGAGGTTATTTTTGTGTCCTAAACATAAAATATTATAGAAAACATTTCCTGAGTCTGTGGCTATTCAGACACCCTTTAAATAGCATTGCATTGGTACCTGCCAACTTTATCCATCTATAAATCCAGCACTCCTGTCATCAACTCTACATGGTCAGCAGGAGACTCAGTTTTATTTAATTTTTACAGGCACAACCTGGGTTAGTGAAATTGCATATATGATCTATAAAGAGGGTGATGTGGAAAAGTGTAAAGAAGATGTAATTTTTAATCGAATACCTTTCCTGGAATGCAGAAAAGAAGACCTCATGAATGGTAATGTTCAAGTTGATTTTAAAAACTATTTGCATATATTCTAAGGTGTGTATGTAGATGGTACAAGCAACAAGATCATAAGCAAGAAGGGAAATTAGTATCAGGTCTTCTACATAAGACAGCATATAAATTTATATTCAAATTTAAATCTTGACAGGCTTTGCAGTATAGCATATGTATGGCATGTGTCTGGAATATAGTGAATAAAGACAATTCTTATATGCCTTCAGTAGAGTTTAGTAATATGTACACATGTATTTCTCTGTGGGTTAAATGTGATGATATTTTAAATACTGAGAAAAATACCCATACATTTTTCAATGATACATGCAAAAGTATATTTGCCACAGATTCTTTTAATATTGTGGAAAATTAGAAACAACCTAAATGCTAATCAACAAAAGAATAGTTAAAGGTTGTATAATAACACTATAAAATCATTAAAAATTTTTGGATGTTTCCTGATAGTGCAGTTTAAATATAATATATCGAGAGAAAAAGAATTAGGAGCTATCAAAACATTCATCTGTGTGTATGGTATTGAGATGGCTGTAAATTTGAGAATATAAGTAGATTTGTATAGATGGTTGCTTACCAAAATATTAATGATTTCTCTCAGGTGATGAAATTTTATTTCATTTTATATTTTTCTCTGTAATTTTCTCTATTTATAGTTCTTTCTTTCATAGTATTATTATTAGGAACACAACATAGAATCTTTTTTAATTTTTAATTTTTGTGAATATATATTAGATGTAAATATTAACGGGGCACATGAGATGTTTTGATATAGGCATGCAATGCATAATAATTACACCATGGAATATGGGGTGTCCATTCCCCCAAGAATTTATACTTTGTGTTATGTACAATCCAATTACAATATAGAATCTTAGAGTTACTTATGTTTTATAAATATCTGTATAAATCCACATAAGTAGTTATAATTTTTGAAGTTGCCTAACCTTTACTTTTTTAAAAATCAGGAGTAAAACAATTAGATGAGATGAATTCTCCTAGAATTGTGAAGACTCATTTGCCACCTGAACTTCTTCCTGCCTCATTTTGGGAAAAGAATTGTAAGGTAACCAGCGTCAAGTGTTCACAAAACTTCATCCAACTCCAAGAAATGATCGAATGATCTCATCAGCTATAAACACTTTTTTATTTATTCTTTCATTGAATCTATAGGCATTTAACAAATGTGGAATACAGTCAATATTGTCAGAGAGTCTATATTTTAATTCCAACTCTGTGTTTTGCCAGATGTGGTTCTAAAAAGTCCAGTTAAACTCCCTAAGCTAAGCCTAAGTTATTACATCTGTAGAAGAAAGATAATAATAACATCTTTTTCATAGAGTTGTTCTAAGGTTTAAATGATAATGCTTGTAAAGTGCTTCACATAATTCCTAGCATGTTGTAAACAATAAATGGTAGCTACTTTTGTATTTGTTGTTGTTACTAATTGTACTGAATGTCCTCCCTTTGCAAAATACTGTGCTTGGTGTTGTTAGGCATGCAAATGAACCAGAAAAGGATAGGTCAGATAACTGTCATATAATAACTATGTATCGAGTGCCTAATCGTGTTAGGGACATAACAATAAGATACATGCAAGCCTTGTCTTCATGGACACATAGTCCATTGGAGAAAAAGGACAGGTTAACAGACAAGACAAAAAGTATCATAAGTCAAGTAAGAGAGATAATTCTAACTTAGACACTGTAGGTAGGAAAGGCATCTAGGAGCAACATCTCAGATATTTGAATGGTGTATAGGAGGGATGACAATTCAGAGATAATCTGAGGGGGCATCTGAAATTAGTTGAGTTTGATTAAGTGTACACATTGGCTAAATAAGTAAAGGGAGATTAGCTAGGAATTGATTATAAGAAATATGGAAAGTCAAGTTAAGATGTTTGGACTCTGCCATTTTAATGGTAATGAGGAGTAATAGACATATTAAGCTGATAGTTGATACTATCAGTTTTGCTCTTTAAAAATAATGTTGTACATGACCTCAAAATACAGGAAAAACATGAAATTTGAGACCACAAATTCTGTTCTTCAAGAACTTTCTGCCACCAGTGTGTTCTTCAAGATCTTATAGTACTATTTGCAGTCATCACTAACAAAAAGGGGATGTATCCCAGTCATTACATATTCCCATTTTGTAATCTGTTACATGGCATATTTGACATTTCCTATAGATCTACAGATAAAAATCAAAGATCTCCATGCTAGTTTGTTTTTATCATTAGCAATCCTAGATCGACCATATGCGTCCTGCTGAAGTCATTCCATACATAAGGGCAGTCTCATTAGTAAACACCAGTTATATACTTTCCAGGAGATGTGTCATTATTATTTTTTAAGAGATTTGACCAATACACGTTTTTCCTTTGGAGGATAGGTGGTGGACTTGCTGTTAACTCCTTACTTCTCAAATGGAAACAGGTACCATACATTTAGAATAGTCCAAGCCTTCACAAAACTGCTTATTTTTCAAGCGTTATCAAAGAGTAGGAGATAATTGGAGGGATTCATGTTTGGGTATTTCCAGAGTGATTTACAGAGAAACAACAACAGCAACAACAAAAACCAAATAGATAGAGGATATTTGTAAATATCCTTTATGCAAATAGATAAAGGATATTTGGAATGATGAAACAGAAACTAAAAGTGATAAAGATAAGGAAATGACAAAAAGTAACAGACTAGTGGATAATATAAATAACAGGCCAACGGATTTGAGCCATTGGTGTGATTGTAGGAAAGGTATGTGGAATAACTAATGGGGAAGAAGGAAGAAGCGAGATTTCTTGAAAGAAAAGATTATGGCTCAGGATTATGCTTCAAAAGTGAAACCTTTATGGTAAAGGCTTTATTCAGTATTTGGTTACAAAAGTGATTACAAAAGTCTGAAGTAACATAGAAATAATGATCAATAACTACATGAACTTAGAGAATCAAGTAGATCACACATACCAACAATAATATTACACAGAATGATAAAAGAATTTGAATGGAGAATGAAACCATGATGCAGGTATTCAAATCTTCAATTAAAGCAAGGGAATGACTACAAGGTTAGAAATGGCATCAGATAGGAGACATATAGACTAGTTAAAGTATCATAGGAATAGGTGCAGAATTTTAAAGATAGATTATAATCACAAGTGAATCATTGGGAAACTGATGACTTTGACTCAAGAGAGATGCAGTGCAAGTCATATCTTCAGGAAAGAGCTGGATTTCCCTTGAGGACAGAAAAATAAGCGTGCACAGTAAAAAGTTTGGGGTATTGAATAAGATCTCCCAAAAGAAAGAATATAAACTAATAGAAGTTTAGGGAAAGAGAGATCACTCTTTTTTTCTGTCTGGGAAAATAAAAAACCTCATGGAGGACCTGAAGGCAAGCTACAAAATATGGATAGCATTTTGAGAAACGGAAAACATTCAAGAAAGAGAGACTAGAACAAAGAAGACAAGGGGTGAAAATGCTGAAGTAAATTAATACATACTGTGGCAAAGGGTTCCTCTCAGCTAAGAGATGAAAAGAACTAGGAAGAGTTATAAGTAAGATTGGAAAAGTTCAATGTGACTAATGATGGATTTTAGATGAAAAATGTTCACTTTTATTCTCTAGGTTTTAGAGGCTTCTACAAGAGGGCTATAAAATGAGAGCTATACATCTAAGAATAAGCTAGATTTCTATAAAATTGTTAGAAAATGTCATTGGTAAGACAATTTAGTAGCTTTAATCATATTCCACAAACAATGGAGACTCAACAATATCCTTTCATGACATTGCTTAGGTGCCTGAGGAACTAAGTAGATGCCCATAAGGATACTGGACTTTACTTTCACAGGTCTTTTCATGTAACATTGAGTATCAGACCTAGAGTAGACCACAGATGATCTAACTCAAATCATTTGTTTAGTAAAGAAAACATTTAGGTCAAAAATTACTGGTACTTTGTATTCTTAGTGCCAAAACTAGAAACTAAAACCACAGTTTTCTGAAAACTAATTCATTGGTATTTCTTTTGCATGTAAAATGGAAACTAACAAGCTGTTGGTAGAGATTATATTTTCACTGAGATCAATGTGCATATAACTAGAACCTCATAAACATGTTTTTTTTCCTGCAATATTGAAAGTGAAGAGACCTCAGAGCTATATATTTTTTTAATTATGTAGAGTGGTGGTGTAGTGTACAGACCAGAACACAGTATAGTTGACTGAATGATATGTCAAATGGTTTACTCTCATTGATTTACTCTCAATGCTATATTATTACTAAATTTCAGCTTTGTCTCTTCACTTTTAGATTGAGAATAATAAATAATGTAACTGACTTAATTTATATTGATAAAATTTACAACACTCAAATGAGGTATCATGTGTGAAAATGGCATAATAATGTTATTCTGTTTGTAGTGAGAACAAACAGAACAACACTACAAAAACCACTGCCATCTCAGGTTATTGAAGATGTCTTTATAAATAATTGTACATGTTTTATGTATTTTGTAAAATGAACATGCATTATGTTTATACTTGAAAACATAAATCCTTTTTATAAAAAAATCTTGATGAGATTGTTTGAAAAAAATGTTAAGTGGTTTAATATACAATTTCATCCTCTTAGATAATCTATCTTTGCCGGAATGCAAAGGATGTGGCTGTTTCCTTTTATTATTTCTTTCTAATGGTGGCTGGTCATCCAAATCCTGGATCCTTTCCAGAGTTTGTGGAGAAATTCATGCAAGGACAGGGTAGGAACAGCTTCTTTTCACTGAATTTTTTCAAGGTGATATAAGACAAATGCCATCTCCGAGTAAAAGTTTTTATCTGTTTTGGTATGCTTTCTTCCCTGATTCATAATTAAAACATAGAAATTCTAAAGGCACCTGGAGGTTTAGAGCAACCATACTGTGTCCAGATATAGATAGATGGAAGAATCTGAGCACCCTGGTCCAACATCTAAAAATAAATATATAGAAGTATGTTTGGGGTCGGGGGTAGCAATTTTACTTTATAAGATTGAGACTCAGTGTCTGATTTTCAGCCTTGTCTCTTTTTAGTAGAAAAAATGTTTTGCATTATGTTATTACAACTCTCTTGAATAAGGAGGGGGGAAGAGATTAGAGAAGAGAGAATGTTCGTTTATTTTCAATAAAATTGCTAGGTTCTATATGAATCTGGAATTCACAAAGAAGGTTGACTATCTACAAAACTCTTCCTCATTCTACCCAGTGTGCAATCTGAATATTTTAACCAGATTTCTCAAATTTGTCAAGAGTTACTTGAGCAGATATTCTGGCAAGTTTTTCTTTTTCATTAAACATTTTGACTCAAGTGTTTAGATTCGAGGAAGAAAGGGTGCAAGATAGTCTAGTAGTCATGAAAGAAGGCCATTCTGATCATGTAGCAACAATTATAAAGAAAAATAATAATGAGTTTTCATATCTACACGTGATAATATTAACTCAAGTATATGTGCTTTGTGTATGTTACTACATTTTGGGAAAAGTTCTACTAAAGTATAATGAGTAAAACATATGCCTTAAGATTGTCAAGACCTCCACTGTAGGGCAGACAAATATACTTTTGCGTCACTACAAAGGGATAAATAAGATCACTATAAATTTCATTGTAGAATGTTTTCTGTAAAGAAAAATTCCCTAATGGAGTCAAAGAACAGAGGAGGTATACAATGACTTCAGGCAAAGCAGAACCTTTTAACTCACACAACATTATATTATTTTGTCAGCTTTATATTTTATGAAACATTTTTAGTATAAGTGAGGGAAGAGAAAGAAAAAGGAAGAGACAGCATTTGGTTATATTACATCATTTCTAAAATCTAATTTTCTGGAGTAAGAATGACACTAAGGGTACCTAGGAGAGCACCCCTTACCATGTAAACTAACAGTGTAATAAATACTCATATAGTTATTAGTTCTAGTTGCCAAATCTAGTTTTTAAATGGTAAATTTGAGACCGGAACTGCATTCTTCTGACTATTAGACCACTGCTAGTTTCACTAAGTCAACTCCCTTCACTAACAACGTGATTTTACACACACACACACACACATCAGTTTCAACAGTTTTCTCATAAGCTTTAAATCAAATTGATGAGAGAACTTTCCCTACTGTTTTTGTCATAAACTATGTTATATGATAAAATTCACACTATTTTTACATACACAGATTATTTAATATACTTTGCCTCTCTTGCTGCAGAGAACTTTGCTTAGGATATACAGCTGATCTAGTCTCATTTCATGATCATCTATTTATATTTATTTGTTGCTATTGTTGCTTGAACACTAGTTTTCAAGCAGTTTTAGAGATGATACCACTTTTACACTGTTTTTCTCTCTAATTTTAGTTCCTTATGGTTCCTGGTATAAACATGTAAAATCTTGGTGGGAAAAGGAAAAGAGTCCACGTATACTATTTCTTTTCTATGAAGACCTGAAAGAGGTGAGGAACTTGAAACACATAAGCAACTTGGTAATTTCTAAGAGTTGGCATTTGAAAATACTCTGGATAGAAAAATATTCCTTTAAATAAATGATGACAGCCATCTTCTAAATTTTTATAACAAAAGGACCAAAATAATCCAGATACTTTAGCATAGATTTGAAGCTAGCAAATAAAAATATTCTGAAAATAAATACATTTTAAACCGCAAGTCTCAAAAATGTCAAAGAAAAACTTTGAAAGAACTTGACTTCATAAAACAATAACAACACACACACACACAAACACACACATAGACACACACACACACACAAGGAATCAAAATGGGAAAGTAATTAGTCTTCAAATGTAGAGATGTTGCAATTGTTAGATAGGTACTATAAAATAACCATGCTTATTATGTTTAAATAAATAAAAGTTGAAATTTTAAAAATTACAAATAAACAAAAGCTATTAAAATTGACAGAGCAGATTTGAAAAAAAAAATAACCAAATATAATTTCTAAAAATAGTTAAAAATAAATATGGAAAATTAAGAGATGGGTTCAATAATAGATTAGACATGGCTACATAGTGAATAGTTGAAGTAGAAGATGGAGCTAAAGAAATTCCATAGAATGTAGCACAGTGAGATAAATAGGCTATTTGATGAAAAGTAATGGTTTTTACTAAGTATTAGCATTTAAAAAATAAAAAAGGTATTGGTATGTAAGGCACAGTGATAAGGTCTCACATATATCAACTCAAACTTCCAGAAGAAGAGTGTAAAGAGAATGCTGAAATATCAATACACAAATTTTTATGGGCTTAAAATTTTCCCATAATCTAGTTTTTCTTCAGTTTTATTGTTAGTCAGTGTAATCCAAAATAAAAATAACTATGAGATACCGGTTTTACACCCACTACACTGGTAATAGTTGGGAGGCCGAGGCGGGTGGATCATGAGGTCAGGAGATCGAGACCATCCTGGCTAACACTGTGAAACCCCATCTCTACTAAAAAAAAAACCAATTAGCCGGGCGTGGTGGCGGGCACCTATAGTCCCAGCTACTCTTGAGGTTGAGGCAGGAGAATGGCATGAACTTGGGAGGCGGAGCTTGCAGTGAGCTGAGACCATGCCACTGAGCACCAGCCTGGGTGACAGTGAGACTCTGCCTAAATAAATAAATAAATAAATATCTGACAATAACAAATATTAGGATGCGAATCAGTGAAAACTAACACACTGTTGATCATAGTATAAAAAGATACAAACACCATGGAAACAACCTTCATTATCTAGCAAAGGCAAACATGCACATAGTTTAAGATCCTGAAATTCTACTCTTGGACATATACTCTAGAAAAACTCTCACTTGTGTACATTAGGTTATATATTCAATAATTTTCATAGTAGCATTCTTAATAACTGTAAAATTTGAAAACAACCCAGATATACATATACCAAAGAATCTATACATAATGTATTTTATTGTATTGCAATTAGATATTGTATTATAAAAGGGAATACGCTTCAAAAACACATATCAGTTAGGTAAAAGCAAACTATATGTTGTCTACAGATACATACTTAAGTTTGAAACCTATAGAGTAGATAATTTGAAAAATTTGAAATTAGAGGATTTTTTTCTTTTCTTTTTCTTTCTTTTTTTTTTTGGTTGTTTTGTTTTTGTGGGATGGGAGTAGAGGGTGAAGGGAATTCAAAAGAAAAAAAAAAAAAAAACTAAGAAAACTGTGAACGTTCTAGTCCATAAGTTAAGTAGTAGGTAGTAGGTGGTGTACATAGTTTTATCATTTAAATGAGATATATACATATATCTCATAATTTTTAAAACATAGAAAACATAATGAGTTTCTTTATTAAGAGGTGAGAAATTTCTTCTATTTTCTTATCCTTTACTATCACCAAAAAAGCAATTGATCTCCATGTCTTATTCATATATTTGAATAACCTTTAAAATCCTTTATAGTAGTTCAGTAATTTTAGAGTTTTTTTGGTGAGCATTTATTTAAAATAAAATCATAAATAATATTTTATAAGTTAAATTATTTATAGAATTTAATACTAGATCAAATTTGAATACTAAAAGCAGTCATGACCTATAGTTTATTATATTATCCAATACTGTGCTCTGTAACTAGACTATTAATGACAGTGAATTTGAAATACACACAAAAAAATTAAATAGTTACTCCACTCTCTTCCTCCATTCCAAATTGTCCATGTCTACTTACTCCCGATTTTGGCCAATAATGGCCATGTTTAGGTTTCCTCTATATTTGAATTAATAAGGCTAAGAATACACAAATTAATTTTTATTTGTTTCTACAATGTATCCAGTAGGAAAAAAAACAAGATATTATCACTATATATATATGTATATATATACACACACACATATGTATATATAAAATAAGATTATGTGTATATATTAAATATGTACACATACATATGAGATGCTTACTTTACACCCATATATACACATAATATTTTTTCTTGTGTCTTGAAGCATCGTCTTTTTTAATTTTAATTTTTAATTTTTATGGGTACACAGTAGGTGTATATATTTAGGGGTACATGACATATTTTTATATAGGCTCACAATGCGTAATAATCACATTAGGGTAAATGAGGTATTTATCACCTCAAGCATTTATCATTTCTTTGTGTTACAAACATTCCAATTATAGTTTTTAATTATTTTAAAATGTACAATAAATTATTGTTGACTGTAGTCACCATGATGTGCTATCAAATACTAGATCATTCTGTCTAGCTCTATTTTTGTACTTATTAACTATCCCCACTTTAGTATTGCAAATAGTTGCACTGAGTGATATAGCTGAATAATGGGGTATATTATAGAAATGGCACAGATATGGGGATGTTTGTAGCTATGGTATATAGACAACTGATGTTGCATTGTGAGTATTTGACTTTTTACAACTTTTCTTAATTTTTCTTGTTTCTTTGTTTCTCACACCAACAAATTAGGAGAAAAATGAAAATTGCCTGCATATTTTTATCCCCCAAACTTAATTTTTCACAGGGGACTTTAGGTTTTGAGTATGATATTTGTATTCATAGATAACATCTATAATAAACATTCACAAATATTATCTCATTTAGTTTTTTGAATAATCCTTAAGGTATCTTTTATAAACATTTTATGGATGAGGAAAATTATACTTAAAACAGATTTTAAAAAATTTCTCCAAAAGTGTTCTTTTTCCTCATTAGAAATCTAAATCTAATATCAGTAGGAGAAAAGAGAAAGGTTTATTTTTTCTTTCATTTAGATAGTGATTTATTCAGTTTTAGCAATTTTAGCAATTTAGTTCTCAAAACATTTTTTCTCCCCAGGATATCAGAAAAGAGGTGATAAAATTGATACATTTCCTGGAGAGGAAGCCATCAGAGGAGCTTGTGGACAAGATTATACATCATACTTCATTCCAGGAGATGAAGAACAATCCATCCACAAATTACACAACACTGCCAGACGAAATTATGAACCAGAAAGTGTCGCCCTTCATGAGAAAGGGTGAGAAAGTCTTGTGGTTTGCCTCAATACTAGAGGAAGTTACAAAGTGATATGGTTATAAGCAAAACTCTAGTGAGCTATTTTAATGCCTGTGAACCCAGCTTCAGTTTTCTTCAACAGTCTCTCATATTTGAACACACTCTTTAAGTTACACTTCTATTATATTGCAATTACCTGTTGATATTTAGTATATGCATCATATTATGTTAAAAATAACGAGCAGACACCTCAATCGCAGCACTGGAAATAATATCACACCCTACTAGTTGTCATTAACCAAGCCTATGTGCCTCAGTGTTACAACATATATCATATAGTTCCTTTAAGTTCTAACCAGAAATTCCGCAGAAACATTTTATTCCTATCTCTTTTTGCGTTGAAGAAATAAATTTAGAATAGTTCATCAACTTTTTTTTTTTTTAACAAGTGGCAAACACCTATCAAGGGTAAGTGGCAAAAAATAGAGATTCAAATATAGCTCTGTTTAGCAAAAATTATCAACATATAAGGAGAAAAATATTCTGTTTGGGGGGAGGCACAGCCTGATGAGATATAGCCAGTTAACAAATTTAAAGGCATGTCAGATATTCAGATATTCAGAGTATTGTGACACCAGTCTATTGATATGTGAGGAAGCAGAAACAAACAGAATAGAATCAAATCTTGCTCTTTGAACCATATTGTCAGTGAAAGCATCAGGGACTTTTTAAAATAACAGAAATAACAAACCTGGTACTGGAGAAAAACAAAACAAAACAAGGAGCCACTGAAAAGAGAATCAATTCTCAAATTATATTTTAATTATGTACTCTTTTGATTATCTATTTCCTTTTTTTTTTTTTTTTTTTGAGACAGAGTCTCGCTCTGTTGCTCAGGCTGGAGTGCAGTGGCACAATCTCGACTCACTGCAACCTTCGCCTCCCAGAATTAGCAGTTCTCCTGCCTCAGCCTCCTGAGTAGCTGGGATTACAGGCGTGTGCCACCACGCCCGGCTTTTTTGTATTTTTAGTAGAGATGGAGTTTCACCATGTTGGTCAGGCTGGTCTCAAACTCCTGACCTCGTGATCCACTCGCCTCAGCCTCCCAAAGTGCTGGGATTACAGACGTGAGCCACCGCACCCAGCCTATCTGTTTCCTTTGTCAAAATTCTACATATAAATATTACAAAGGATTTAAAACAGTTGTCATACTTGCAAATGGTGGCTTGCTGCTCTACCCTCAGAACCTATCTGATTTTTTTAGGATACACATTTTCTGTCTTCTGGGTTTTGGGTTATTTCAGTGGGAAAGTTTAGAGCTCCTTGAGCTAGAGGGCAAGTGAACTCTTGAACAGTTTAAAAAAGAGGGTGACTTCCTTCTTCAAGGTGAGTGTTGGAAGTGTGTTGCAAAGCAAAATAGGAAAAGCCTGCTGGACTATTGTAATTACCCAGAAGGGAAGCCCTCTCTGGCTGGCAGTAGCAGGAGAAGTTGTAAAGAGGCAGTAGATATAAAGAAAGCCTGAATATCAATAAAGAATTAGATGTGGTTAAGGGAATAACTTCCAACCTTATGTGTAGATACCTGGTGTTGACATTACACAGGTCATTAAAATGTACATGGAGAAACCACAATATGATAAGGAATAAAATGAATTTATTTTTGAACTAATTGAATTTGAAAAACTTGGCCATCTTTCAGGTGGCAAAGTCATGTAGGCAGTTGTATATAAAGCTTAAGTCTGGATTTTAGTGCTAACAGCATTAAGATGATATTTAACACCTCGAGAGCGGGTAAAACATGGATCTTATCCTGGGAGCCCCAACAACTGAGATGAAACTTGAGAAGAAAAAATAAAGTGGCATGAGAAGAAAGAATCAGAGAATTAAATTTGTCATTTTTTTAAACAAATTAGGACAAGCCCACCTTTCTAAGCCCAAATAACTATATCATTAATGGTATACATTTTATTCCTAAAGTTGAGAATTACAAGAATAATATTTGATTAGGTGTAAATGAAAGCTATGAAATTAGCAAACCTAATGATTCTTTTTTGAAGACTTAATACTTACTGCACTTTCTTTTTTGTTACAGGAATTACAGGAGACTGGAAAAATCACTTTACAGTAGCCCTGAATGAAAAATTTGATAAACACTATGAGGAGCAAATGAAGGAATCTACACTAAAGTTTCGAACTGAGATCTAAGAAGGTCTTTCTTTACTTAAAATATCTGATATTAAAGATTTCTTTTCATTATTCTCCACTTTTTCTTATTTTAGATTGCTAGAAAAGACATAGTCATGGATTACGGTGACATTTTCTTTTTAAATTTTTGTTTAACATTTTTTTTGAGACAGTCTCACTCTCTTGCCCAGGCTAGAGAACAGTGGCACAATCATGGCTCATTACAGCCTTGACCTCCTTGACTCAAGTGATCCTCCCACTCAGCCTCCCAAGTAGCTAGGACTATAAGCATGTGCAACCATGCTTGACTAATTTTTTTTTAATGTGTGTGTGTGTGTGTGTTTGTTTTTTTTTTTTTTTTGGTAGAGATGAGGTCTTACTATATTGTCCAGGCTCATCTTGAATTCCTGGGCTCAAGCCTCCCAAGTAGCTGTAACAACAGGAACACACCACCATGCTCAACTAATTTTAATTTTTTTTTTTTTTTTTTGTACAGACAGGGGCTTGCTATATTGTCCAGGCCTGGTGCCATCTCTCAGCTTCAGTATCCTCCTCACCACACCAGCTCACGCCAGAATACTGGGGATTACAGGCTGAGGCACCATGCCCTGCCCAGGTAACATGTTTATTGGAGGAGCTGTACATGTACAGAGAAATAAGAACTTTTTTTTTCCTGATATCATCTCTTAAATTTTTTTCTTTTCTTTGCTCCTCTTCTCTTTTCATTGTTTATAAAATTATGCACAACTATAACCTACTGGAATGATGTAGCACCAGAACAGAATAACATCTGTTAGAGTTGTATTAAAAATAAACCAAGCATTCAAATTATTTCTGGATTGATTTTTCCATTTAGTAGGACATTAGTATATATACAAATGTGCATGAACTTTGAAAGACTCTAGAAAAGGAATGAAAGAAATATATAATTTGGAGGCATAAATAGCCTATGATTTCTCTTATTTTCTTGACTTTCTTTCTTTCTTTCTTATTTATTTATTATTTATTTATTATTTATTATTTATATTTGAGACGGAATCTCCCTCTGTCGCCCAGGCGCTGGAGTGCAGTGGCGCCATCTCAGCTCACTGCAAGCTCCGCCTCCTGGGTTCACGCCATTCTCCTGCCTCAGCCTTCTGATACCTTGGACTACGGGCCCGCCACTTCTGCCAGGCTAATTTTTGTATTTTTAGTAGAGACGGGGTTCACCGTGTTAGCCGATGATCTCCGATCTCCTGACCGTCGTGATCCCCTCCTCAGCCCTCCAAAGCGTGCTGGGATTATAGGCGTGAGCCCCGCCCCCAGCCCATTTTCTTTTACTTCTACAAAATGATTTAATTAAATTTACCTTTAGTCTAACGCAATTTTTAACATAACACAACTGATTTCCAAACATCTAAAAATAATTCCAATGAGTGTTATTTATCTTCAGCTAGTTTGAAATATTTATGCTTTAGGGTTCCTTTCTATTCTTTTTCTGTACTATGTTTAGTCACTGCTTCCTTTCGTTAACACAGAGGAGACACAAGATCATTACATATTTACCTTGGGTCTTCAGTAGAACACTTATCTAGACTACAATAGACTAAAAGGCCAAATCTGGGGAGAAATCCAGATGATTTAGTTTCTTATTTTTTGGAGAAAAGTTCATGGATTTCTGAGCACCCTGTTCAATAGTTACAGTTTTTCAGAATCAAAGTTTTTCTTTAAATGTTTAACACAGTTATTCATTATACAAAAATTGGAGAGTCTTGGAAACTATTAAGATATTGCAGAGGACAGTCTTTGCCAGGGGAATCAGAATCAATCCCTGAAAACAACAGTCGTTATACATTTTTTATGTGCCCATTTAGTCATAATATTTTAAGTTTCACATTATAATGTCCAATAACTTTGTTAACATGCATTTTGTAAGACTCATAGTTGATGTTGCCCACATTATAATTGATGTAACTAAGCAATAATAAACCTACATATCTTTCTGACATCAGTCCTTAGTGGAATAACGTATTCCAGTTTAGCCTGAATAAAAATTGTGAACCAATTACACCTTTCCAAAGCTTGCCCAGAAACTTTTGTATCTTCTTTGGAGAAGTAATAGGGCTGGGATCTAGCTTCAATTTCACATGGAAACTTCAACCCCTTTAGACTCTTGGCATCTTGCTGGAGCTGGGCTTACAGTCCATATGGACTGGAGACAATGAAAACTTTGGACAGCATCATGTGGTAAAATACATAGAGGGGGCCAGTGTAGTTTTGGTTCTGTGCTTCCAAGAAAACTACAGAAATTTTTATCTCATTGCTTAGTATTTCCAAATAATTGTATCTCTAGAACAATGCCTTCAGGCCCAGATAAATTCATAGAAATACTTTTTAAAGGTTTGTTGACTGACTAATATCATGTGTTATCATTTGAATGTGTTCCCCAAAAGTTTATGTGTTGAAAACTCAATTAATCTGCCCTCATGAATGGATTAATTGACTAATGAGAGCTCTGCACTCATGAATGGATTGAAGTCACTATCCCAGGAGTGGGTTCATTATTGCCAGAGAGACTTTGTTACAGAAGTGAGTCCTCTTTGGTTCTTGCTGTCTCACATGTGATGCCTTTTATGTTATGTTGCAGCAAAAAGGCCCTCACTAGATGCCAGTGCCATGCTCTTGGACTTTTCAGTTTCCCAAACTGAGCCAAAGAAACTTCTGGATTTTATAAATCCCAGTTTATGGTGTTCTGTATAGTAACAGAAAATCGACATCTGTCAACACTAGGAAGTACTCAGTTAGCACTTATGGGTGTGGTAATTATTCATAATCGGAGTCATCCCATAAAGTTCCTTCATATGATTAAAATACCTAAGAATTCAACTTAAGAAATGAATAAATGAGATTGTATGAGACTATACCTGGCAGCATGAAATAAACAAGCATCCATGTTGATATAAATAAATGATTAAATAATTAAATGTGGTAAATAAATATACCATATAGAAGAATTTCACCTACTTACATATAGTTCCCCATGCCATTCCTTAAGTATGAGATTCATATAGGGATTTTCTTATAAAGGGCAAGGAGTACAGTATGGGGGGAAGAGTAATTTTAGAGTGGAGAAACCCTACCTCAGCCAGGTAATTCCCCTTTTGTATCTGACTAATTACCTGAACACGCGGATCACCTTCTATGTTCTGCTCCCTATCAGACCTCTGATCTCGCTGCCACTTTCACATTCCACAGGGATGCTACTGTCTGCTAGGCCTCTGAAACTCCTTAGCCCCTTGTCATGCTACCATTTTCAAAGAAACAAATGGAAACAAAAAGAAGAGAGAAAAGGAATTTTCACTTATTTTTAGATCTACTGTCTTCAGGGTTCAATCAAAAGTACAGCGTCATAAAAGACCTCCTTCTTCTCCTTTTGCTGACATCTACCTTATCCTCATAAGCCAGAAGACTTGGAAAGGTTCTGGTTCATGTCTCAGGTAACTTCTGAGAAATCAAGACATGTCTTCATTGGAATAGCAAGATTTAACTCTCTTGAATTCTGTTCTTTCTAGGTTTTGGCCCAATATTTAAAAATTTTCTTCTCAGTGCAGCAAAATGAAAGAAGCTTAAAATAAGCAGAATAAAGTAAAAAATAAAAACAAAAACAGAAATAAACTGGATACAGGAAAACAATGGAGAATATTAATGAAAGCAAAAGCTATTTCTCAAAAAAGATTAATAACATTAATAAACCTCTACAAAGACTGACAAAGATGGGAAAACAAAGGACCTACATCACTAAAATCAGCAATAAAATAAGAAATATAACTACAGATTCTATAACCAGTGAAAGCATAAGAAGAAAAGCCTGTAAGCTTTATGCTAGTACATTTGACAATTTAGAAAGAATGGCCAATTCCTTATAAACCACCTACTACCAAACTCGTAGAAGACAAAATAAAATACCTGAATCGTCCTATAACCATTACACGTGTAATAAAATACTCTTGAAAGAGAATTCCCAAAGCCTAGATGACTTCAGCGAATTTTATGAAACATTTAGAAAAGACACCTAGTAATTGTAATGATACCTGTCTTAAAATATTAAAAACTGGCCAGGGGCAGTGACTTAACACCTGTAATCCCAGCACTTTGGGAAGTCGAGGTGGGAGGTTCGCTTGAATCTAGGAGTTTAAAACTAGCCTGGGCAACATAGTGAGACCCCATCTCTACTATGTATGTATAACTGGTTTGAGATTCTTGTAATTTTTCACATAACCAATATATTTTCTATTATGTGGTTCTTTTTTGTCTTTAGGGTTTGAATCATGATGCTGAGAAGTGGCAAAGTTTTTAAATTTTCAAGTCTATCAATCTGCACCATAATGGAACTTAAAGTTGAAGTTGAACCCTCTCATTTAACAAAATATGAAGATACAGTTATATCTTCATCCTTTCTGAACATCCTAAACTAATACTTTATTTGACTCTATAAAAAGGTCTTGATTAATGTTTTTTTCTTCTCTTTCAGGGAAAAAGCCAAAAAAACCTTAATAAGAATAATAATAATTATTACTGTTAATATTTTATTTATCATTGTATGTGTCACGGATTGTTCCAAGTGCTTTATTCATTTCATTGTCACAACCCTTCAATAAAATGGAACATAAAGTCATTCCCATTTTAATGATAATGACATTATGGCAAAGAAAATCTGTACAATCTATACAAGTTATCCAAAAATCACACATGGAAAGTCCTTGTGAAAACCTGGTCCCAGATCCATAGTAGATGTTCCCTAAATGGTAATTTCTGCATCTATCTATCTAACCCCTACCTAAATTTTTTTTTTTTTGAGACAGGGAGGGTCTCGCTCTGTCATGCAGGCTACAGTACAGTGGCACAATCATAGCTCACTGCAGCCTCAAACTCAAACTCCTAGGCTTATTTCATTTTCCCACCTCAGCCTCCCAAGTAGCTGAGACTATAGGCAGATGCTATCATGCTTGGTTCAACCCTGACCTACTTTTTATTTTACAAAATAGAAACCTTTTCGCTAATTGTTTTATAACAAGCTGTTCAATATTGTCGATATTTCAATCTCCAATTTAAAAATTCAGATAAAACCATATTATCGTAAAAGCATGATGACAGATACACAAACACATGTATACAAAATTATGTTTTTAATAAAGATACAGGTTTTACTTTTGAAATATGTTTCATTTAGACTGCAAAACAAGCAAGAAGATCTCTTATGAATCAGAGTTGTTTATACTCTCAGGAAGGAAGATAATGATCTAACCAATCTCTTTCATTGGGAACTGTTTTCTGAATATTATAAGGCCCCAGGGATTCCAGATGGAATAGAGTTTAATTAACTCTTCACCATCAAATACCTGTGTTAGAAGACCTTGAGAAAGAATGTTTGCCTAGTAGCAAATGGCATCCTACTTCTTGACTACACTTGCGCCTGAGGATACAAAAGGACAAGGTGTATTTAACCTTAGAATGTCTCTGTAAGATGAAAACAAATAAATGCAATTATCTCCACTTAAAGTCTAAAATTGGCAAACGCTTATAAGATAAATGACTTGTTCAAGATTGACTAGTAGGAAGAGTTTTAGTATAAAAACTTAAACTCATTATCTCTTTTTTAAATGGGACTGAATGGAGGATTGAGAATGGCTCTTTATGTGAAATATAATATATTTAATATATTTTCTTTTGTTTTAAGGCAGTATTGAAATGAAAAAAGAATTAACTCTTAGGTTCTGATAGCATACATGGTGATAATGTAATAATTTTAGTAATAATTAAGCTATATTGGGTAATTTTTGCACGCCAAACAGCATACTGAATATTTACACGTTAAATCATTCCTTTTATGAAATTTTAACAATGAAAAAGACATAATAGCATGATTCTATGAAGAATCTGCTAAGATAAAGAATCCTAGGCCAGGAACTGTGGCTCAGCACACTGGGATGCCAAGAGGGAGAATAGCTTGAGGCCAGGAGTTTGAGACCAGCCTGGGCAGAACAGCCTAGTTTCTACAAAACAACATAGTCTCTACAAAAATAAAAATAAAATACATAAATAATCCTCTACTCAATAACAGAGTTCATTTGCCCAAAGATACATATTTGGTAACTGAACATTTCTAATGATACTGTGAATTTCAAAACTATTATTATTAGGTTGAAATGTTAATGTATGAAACAGAAATCATACCTATCAATCAGTATTTGATAAATATTTATCTTCTACATTTATTTTCTTTAATAATGTACATTGGTCACTATTCCTGTTTATTATTACACCTTTACAGTCCCAATCATAGCCTTTCTGTCTCCACTTATCATAAATTCAGTTTGAATCTTCCAGTTCTCCAAATAGACATAATGGCTATCTTTCTGTTTCTAACACTTTTATAATAGTTCAAGTTACTCTCTCTATTCAAGATCCAGTGGTACTAAAGCGTTAAGTGCTGAGCATGCAAGGACAGTAAGACACACAGTTCCACCTTTATGGAATTTATGATGTAATGCCACATAAATTAAACAATCAACTCTAATATTAGCCATATGCATTTAGCATGACAACAGGATGCTTTGGAAACACATAAAGGATACATACCCAAAAAATGGAAGGTTTCTTAGGGAAAGTGATATGGAAACTGAAGGACAATTAGCAATCAGCTGGGCAATAATGGAGCATGATGTTCTAGGCAGAGGGAAAAATATGTGTGAAGCACTAGGTAAATGAGTTTAGGGTAATGTAATTCAGAATATGTGATGTAGAAAGTAAGAGGTAAGGCTGGAGTTATGCATATTCTTGATAGTAAAGAAACTTGAGAGCATTAATAAAGAATATAAAATTTTTTTGCCTTTTTGATGTGGTAACAATTCTTCAGCAGCTTTGTAACCAGCAGACTCAGTGGAGTATCAAATATAGGGAGAGGATCCATGCTGACAGGGAATGAGGGGTGAAATAGAAATGAGGAAATAGAAACAGGTATTTTCCCTGTGACTGCAAGATATTTATTTGGAAATTTTATGATCCTACTGTTAATCTTACCACTGGATTAGATTTATAATAAGGATATCTTTCTGCTCTTTTTCCTTCTATACTTTCTTCTCCTGCTGATGCTACTGTTACTACTACAACTGTGATAGACACCTTTTTTAAAGTACTTTAGAGGAATAAAACAGATGAATTAACTCATTGGTTCTCACAAACTGGTGATTTACCAAGATCACTCTGGCTTAAGAGTGGACCACTTATTAGAAGAGATAAAACCAGAGATGGATAAAACAGTTAAGAAGCTGTTGTTATCCAACTGAAAGAAGACAGCAGCTTGAGATGAACACTGAATAGAAGAAGTGGGCAATTGAAGAGATGGTTTACATGAATAGATCAAAAAATGTCATGGTGACTAATTGAGGCAATATGAAGGAAGTGAGAGAAGACAAGGTTATAGTTTATAATATTGCCTGATTGTCATTGACAAAAATAGCAAACTAGAAGTATTTTCCTCCCTTTGTTTGAGGCAGGGTACGGATACAATGATGAATTCAATTTTGAATGTGTCAAATTTGAAATGTTATGAGATATCTAAAGAAGATGTCCAGTAATCAGCTTACTATACAAACCTAGAGCTCAGGAGACTTAAATACAGAAGTGGATATAGGAGATTTCCCAGGGGTGAAAGTGTAGTTTTATCAGAAAAGAAGGCTTGTAGCTTGGAAGGAGTAGGATCTGGATAATTACCAATATGTAGGGAATGGGCAGAAGAAAATGAGGTAATAAGCAACCCCCCAAAACAGAATGTTTCAAGATAAAGGAGGAAAACCAGAAGAAACCAGTACAACTAAAGCTAAACTACAAAGAACTTTTCAAAGGAGGGAGTGGTCAAATGGTCAAATGCTATAGGGAAGGTAGATACAATTAAAAAGAAAGTATTGGCTTTAAATGTAACAACAAATGTGATTATTCTTTGATAGATTTTAACATAGCATTATTTGCAAATGACAGTGGAGTGGTGAGATGGTGGGAGAAGAATCCATGTTTCCGTGGGTTAGTCCCATGAAAGGGAGGAAAAGGAATAGAAACAATAGGAATATAAGTTCCTACAAGTAGATTGACTGTGAAAGAGTGGAGAGAACTGGTAGTACTTAGCCTATGATTAATATTCAGTAAATTATTAGTGGAAAAATGGCAAGAAAAGGCATGTGCTACTTAAACTTATAATATATTTTGATGTTCTTCACTGTTCCTTTACTTGTTGGCAAGGCTTCTCAACTTACCTCTTGGCACGGTGTAGATTGCATAAGAAACTACTCAGAATTTCAGATTGACACTTGCCTTCAATTGTTTATGAAGGAACCAGACAGTAAGTTCCTTAGTGATTTCAGTCATGCATGGAAATTCTACCAAAGTTATCCGTACAAGTAAGAAGTCTGTTATCAGGAAATCACATTGTATTCCAAAAGCATGCCTTTTCTGGCCACTGTATTGTAATACGAGATATTTTGTAGGCCTGAAAACAATTTTCATACTAAGATGTTGAGTGTACACCATGCAGCCACATGAAACTAGGTATTTTACGTAGTATTACATTTTAATTCTCATATCAACGATGTTGACTGGTATCACATCCCTCATCTAAAACATCATTATATGTTTTAGATGAGGAAACCAAGTATCATGCCTAGGGTTCCATATAAATTGCAGAACCATAATTTGTACTTAGGTACATATAGTGAGGAAGGATATTAAAGGAAGAAAAGTGAAATAAAAATTAAAAGAAAAAAATAAAACAAGCTGTTTGTGTTAGGCAGACTCATTTCAAAGGCAGTAAGGCAAAGTTTTGATAATGTTATCTAAGGGCCAGAGTTCAAAGAGATATGTTCTGAAGACTCTCCCAGCATGCCTGCAACATAGAGATGTGAGGAGATAAGTTCTATCTCTCCTTTAGTGTAAGTGAACTTCTACCTCAAATCCCATCCTGTCTGCTATGTAATTATATCTTGCTCCCTGCTCTGTAGGTTTTATGAGGTCCTGTTTTCCCTATAGTTAATGATTGTAGGTTCCTGCTTTTTCATCTAAGCAGTATAGCAAAGGTCACTAGACATGCCTGAGCAGGTCTAGCTTACAGCCAGCTGGACGCCATGGTCGGGGGTAGCAAGATGAGTCTTTGTGAAACTCCTATGAACTTTGAACTAACTCAGATTAACGACCATCTGGGCTGCATAGTAAGGGATATACTAAACCTGAGTTATGAGCCTGGCATAGCCTGATTAACTGCCTTTGTCTTGCTTCTGTACATTCGTTTTCACACCACTTAGGAGTAGATATATGAGGAAGACCTTGTCTTTGTTTGGGGCCCAGTCTTTGGACATTGAGTCCGCTGTGTCTGAGTGCACTCAATAAAGATTCTCCTGCTTTACCCAGAG